CGCACTGAAAGGTGTTTTCCCGTCACCTCTGCCCAGCCTGGCCGGGGTGCCCAGCTCCACAGCACCAGGGAGGACAAGGGACCCACACCTTCAGCAAGCGGCTGCTTCCTTCCCCGGCCACCTCCGGGGAGCATGTCTCGCAGAAGGAAGAAAAGGGAAGTGTGATCAGGCGTGCTTGCAAGGAGAGGACTAAGGAGGAGTCACGAGAAAAATAAAAAGCATCAAGAACGGTTTTGCTCAGCTCAGAACATTCCTCAGGGACCACTTATCGTACAGAAAACATACGATTTCAGAAAGCTTTCTTTTCTTTTTTTTTTGCAGGAATTTTCCAAAGGGAAAGCAGAGGTTTCTGTGGGTTCCTTAAAGCGCCATGAGATGCGCGTGACCCATGAGCAGAGCAACAGATAAAACTCCCCTTGTTTTCCCTGAGCATGTTGAAGCCTAGCTACATAGCACCCACAACTGCGATACGGGAAGACACCATAACAAAACAAATAGCAGGAGAAAAACTAATAAACAAGAGGAACAGCAGAGGTTAGGAAATGCTGGAGATTCAGTGAAACATTCCAGCCTCTGGGGAGGGAGAAATTAAAACAAGCAAATCAAACCAAACCCAACCCAAAACTGTTTTCCCTGACATGTCTCAGCCAAGGGGAAACAAAAAATCATTCCAAGATCTGGAAGGATCCCCACACTAGATCTTGAGGAAGGCTGTCAGTCACGGAACATAAGATACTCTCATTTCTATTCTTTATTACTGTATTTTACTTACCCGCTGCAGCCATGGTTGTTAAAAGCCTGAGCGCAATCAACTAACTGTTGTTCCGCCTACGGAAAAGTTTTTGAGTCAGTCAACACCTGCATTCGGAGCGAGTGAGACAAAACGCAACCCACGAGGCAGGCACCCATGGGCGCTGGTGGGGCCCAGGCAGCTGCGAGCGGGCATCACCCGGCTGAACGGCTCCACGTCCCACGGAGCAGGACGAGGAAGACGTGGAGGCAGCAGCCCAGGATGCTCCAGCTGCAGGAGGCATTCCTCCTCACGCCTGCCGGGACGCCCTCCCACCCACAGGAATGCTGGCTGAGATCTCTTTCAAAGGTCAAGTTTGGTTTTAGCACTTAAACCCAACCCTCAGCTATTCTGGTAAGTCATCTAAGCGGCCACTGTCTTTCTGGTTCTTCGAGAATATAAATCCTCTGGGAGTATAAAAACAGTCTCGCAACGTACTGCTTGCAGCAAGCTGTTTTGCAGCAAGGAGCTCCTGCTGGCTGGCAGCACCGGACAGGGCTCTAGCTAACCACGCCTGCCCCCAGCAGCCTCCGGCCCCGCCGGTTTCGTCCTGCTCCAAAAAGGGCTCTGCCCAAGCCCGGGGCTGCTGGACACTCGGACCCCAAGAGGGGACGGTGACAGGCACAGCCTGGGGCACAGAGAGCTCCCGGCCACTGCCCCGCGCCTCCCCAGTAGTTTTGTTTGGCTTGCGAAGGGGTCTGCAAGGGGTCTGCAGGGCTGGGGGTGCCTGCCACAGCCACATGCAGCCATGTACAGCCGGACTTGGAACGAGCAGCCAGCAGCCCCCCCAGACAGGAGCGTGCCGGCCCCGCTGGCAGTGGATAACCGGAGGCAGGACTTGCCATCAGTGCACAGGAAAGGAAAATCTCTTACCAGAGAGAGGAGCTTTCCTGTCGCAATAGCTATAGCGGACTCCAAACACCCTGTGGTGGAAAACGTCCAGCAGCTCCCACAGGGGCCCTGCATTAGGAACCAGAGAAGAACTGCTACATCATGTGCTGTGGGGGTCACCGGCCTCGCCGAAATGCCGGGGCTGGAGCAGAAGGGCATGCCAGGAGCACAGCGCTTCCACTCTCTGCCAGCAGCCAGGCTTCACCTTCCGCTTGTCCCCTGCCCAAGGGTGCCCTGGCCCCCCGGCCCCCCTGCCACGGAGGGGTTCCTGGGGTTCTTCCCCACAGGCATGCACAGCCCAGCACTCCTCGTCCCGGCACCGTGCCCTGCCTGCAGCCGTTAGCCCCTCTCCCGGCCTGCTCTTGGTGACACGCAATCCTCACCTGGTTTTTCACGGGCGTCACGTAATTTCCCTTCTTCCTCCAGTCGATGGAGTCAGGATACGGCCCGGAGCTGCGCAGGAAGTTCCCCTTTGTGGCCGAGCAGTTCTGCAAGTGAGGCAGGAAGACCTGGGCCAGCCCTGGAAGCGTGCTACCAGCCTGCACCCCCGGCAGCGGTGCCTGAGCTGCTCAGGGAGCTCCCAGCGCCCCGAATGGCCGGGATCAGGCCGTAGGTCCGCCCGTACAAAGACAGATTGACCCGCAAAGCCGGGGGCGGAAGCGGCAGTTCGGCTAGAGCCAGGGTGAAGAGGCAGGGGCGGCTGGAAGCCGGGAAGGGGTAGG